TTTGTCTCCTTTTCTGTGCTATTTGTGAAGGAGTTAGTCAGATTTCTTCCTGGTTGTTCACTTTGCTAAAAGAGAAGTCTGAGCCAGAGAATCTCTTATTCAGTATCATAGGTAGACTGGACCCCAGGGGTCAGCCCTTGTCAGGAGTGATTCCTGAGGGATCCCTGTAAACCAAGACAAGAAAGGACCAAATAGCCTCCAGGGACTGTTACAGGGCAGAAGAAGTGGGCCTCTGAGCTTCAAGAAGAAATCTCTGAGGCACTCTGGGATGCACATGAACCAGAGTTCTCAAGGTTCCCCCTCCCCCAAGAATCCTTAGAAGTGGGGTTTGTAGCTCTTGCTAGGAACCACCTAGCCTAGGACACAGAGATGGGAAGGTAGGGTTCTCTGAGGGGCTGTTTTCAGTGAGCAGAACAAGGTAAAGGATACTACATGAAGATCCAGTCACAGTGGGAGCCTCCAGCAGCCACCTGCCTGGTTGAGATGGAAACGCTGATTCCAGCTCCAGCCCCCAGACAGGCTAAGAATATCTCAGCAGAGCAACAGCCACCACCCCCGCCCTCCTTGATCTGCTCACGCATCTGTAGTGTAGTCCTGGGAGCACTGGGGAGATTGAGTGGGGGGATGCTTGGGGTACAAGGCAAAGGAGAGGAGGCTAAGGATGGGCTTGGCTGGAGGCAGGAGGTGAACTAAGAAAGAACTGCTTCAAAGGGCTCTGAGGTCTAGGAAGCCAAAGGAACATCACGACAGAAACCAGGCAGCTGGGGTTAGCAGTGGGGCTGAGGATGAGACAGGCCAGTGTGGTTAATGGGGAGGATGAAGCTCCCCCTCCAATCATGATAGGGCCAGAGTTCACAGCAGGGCAAGGGACCTTCCAACTTACCTGTACCCCTTTCTGTTCCTTCTGCACCCTCCACCAGCTCAGTATTGGTCCCTTCTCTACCCCAGAGCACCGCATTCCTTTTCCGTGCTCCCGATTCTATTCCCTGTTCTATACGTGAACTCCTTGATCAAGTCCTTCTAGCGCAGAGCCTTCTATTAAGGAAAGAGGTAAAAATGGGGAGTCCTCCCTGACAGCTAGCACGCACCTCCTCTGTCAGTTTCATTTCTTCCCCTGCACATCCCACCTCACTCTTCTTTGTCATCTTTGGAGGGGTTCCCCTCTATCACTTCCCCAAGGCTTTGTGCCTCACTAACTCAGGTCTCCTGAGGTAAGACCTTAAGACAGGGAGAGAGAGAGGGAAAGAGGGAGGGAGAGAGGAAAAGAGGGAGGGAGGGAGTTCTGGGCTGGTGCTCCTTCTGTTTGTACACCTCAGAGCCAGAGAGCCTGGGATGGAGCTGTGGGGGGTAGGTAGGCAGCAGGCTTCAGCATTCAGATGCCTAGGCTGCATCTCCATCCTGGCTGATTTAAGAACTTATACTGCCATTAGCCTCTATATAGGGGACCCTCAAAGACATGTGGGTGTAACCTATATGGTCTGAGAACTCCGGGTTTGGTGTTCACTGGAGAGACCTTGGACCCTGGAGACCCTTAGGCCTCCTCTCACGTGTTCCCCTCCTTTCAAGGGGCTCCTCTAGAGCTCCCAGGGACAGAGGAATAATTTGCATTGCTAAAAGCTTGAGCTGCTGCTCCCCTCCCCTGTCTCCCTGGCTGAACTGTAGAAGTGTGGGCCTCACATGGATGCTGTGCACACAAAGACTGAGCCCAGCAGACAGAAACAGATTAGGAAGAGGCAGACAGGGCCAGAGCTAGAGAGAGAAACAGATTCATAGGGCAGATCTAATTCAGAGTCAGAGCTGTGGAATCGGAAGAGGCTTTGGGAATTCAATTCTACTTTATTCTCCTAAAAGTAAGCCATGCTAAATCGAGTTTTATCATGAAGAAACAGAGGCTTAGAAAGACAAAATGACTTCCCCAAGGTCATATAACTGGCAAGCCCTGGGCTACACCTCCTCACTCCTGTCAAAGAGGGAGAAGGGAAGGCTGGTTAAATAGATGAAGAGTTTGTGTTGCATGACTTGGAGACATTCCTAGCTCAGCTCCCAGGGAGGTGAGTGAGAGTCTATTCCATGGTGAATTGGTGGAGACCTTCACCAGTAAGTTCTGCACTGGGCCTTGTAGCTCTTAGTCTGGACCTGCTACCTTAGCCTTGATGATAGTGGGTTGTTCTGGATAACCTGAAGAGTCACAGACAGACAGAGGGCCTGTTCTCAGCACCGTTCCAAAGGCCAATACAGGAAATAGTCAGATAAGAAACATCCAGAAATCAACATAATTAATGAATCATAAACAGGTTCTAAACATAACCCAGCCAGAAAAACACAGTTACAAATTTGGCAAGAAAGTCATCAACCTTCTATAAAGCCTACCTCCTCCATGAAGTCTTCCTGGTTCCACCTTTCCTCTAGACCTCTACTCTGTAGAATATAATATGTTTCTCTCTTCTTAGTGTCTCTGGCTGATTCTTCCAATAAGTTCAGGAACGTTTCCTGGAGAAGATGGGATTCCAAGAGCTTGATAGAAGGCAATATTGCATTCTGAGAGTTGTGGTCTTAGAGTTGAGGCTCAGAGACACAGGAGGATAATCAGAGAGGAGAGGGAAGAGTGCCTGTAAGTCAGAAAGAGTCTCAGATCAGGTAAGCTGAAGAGTAAAGAGGGGATATGAGACAGTCAGAAGCACCTGGTCTGGAGACCCTGAAACAGGAAAAAGTTCTTGATTCCAACAAACAGGATAACAAAAGACCATGGTACCAGGAGTAGGGGTACCAACATGATGATGCCCATGAGTGTGCAGAGACCGTGTCCTAAATAGTACCAGCAATAGTCCTTACGTCAATGAGAGACTCCTGGGAGCTAGGAGGACCCACGTGCCATTCATATTCACGTGCCAGGATTCTGCCAGCACAGCTCAGGCTCTCTGGGGCCTGTCCTTAACCACCGGCGAGCCAACTGTTCCTTGTGTGTCAAATAAAGGCTGACTCAGAAGGCCCTGTAGGAGTAAATGGGGCCCGTTACATAGGAACTGCAAAGAGGGAATTTTCCCGTGGCTACGGAAAGAATGAGAGGTTGAACAGAACAACTAAGTCCACAAGAGAATAAGGATCACATTCAAGGGCACAAGTGAGACCCTGCTGAGAAAGAGCACATTGGGACTGGTGACATTGCTCAGTGGGTAGTCACTTGCAGCCTAGTCCTAAGAACCTGAGTTTGGTCTCCATAATCCCTATGGCTGGAGGAAAGATCTGACTGCCCAACACCGTCCTCTGACCTCCAAACATGCTGTGGCAGGCATGTGCACCTCCCTGATAATAAACAAACAAATAACTTTTTCAATGTCTATACATGACCATGGTTGCCATGGAGGGAGAAGATTTGAGGAAACCAGAGCTCAGCTTCCGGGAAGGGGTGGGTGAACCGTGACTGTGAGACTGCAGAGAAAAGCTGGGACCTCTGTTGCTGTGAGCTGAAACCCAAGGGGATTCTGGAACAGCCTATCTGTAATGAAACACATACAGAGAGAGGAATGTGGGCACACACTGATCCTGACAGCAGTGGGTCTTTGGGGCTGTGCTGGGTCTGGTGGAAACGGAGGCAGGCATGATGGTGCCTATAATCCCAGAATCTGGGAGGCTGAGGAAGGATGGTAATTTACCAAAGCCAGCTTGAGAGTCTCACACACACACACACACACACACACACACACACGCACGCACACACACAGAGAGAGAGAGAGAGAGAGAGAGAGAGAGAGAGAGAGAGATCCAAGAACAATTCTGAGAATTGTTACTGAACAGACAGGTACTCTTCTGTCCACCAATCCCCCATGCCAACGCCCAGGGTTCACCAAGACTCTTGATGGAGAAGCCACAGACAGCAGTCTCGGAGGAGGGTCAGACAAGGCACATTGAACTGGCCCAGGACAAGTGATGTTCACAACCTGACGTTAAGGCTCAAAGTCTAAAACCAAGGCGTGTGGGGACTGTAGCAAGAATGGAGGGATCCAAAGAAATGGGCAGTTCCCAGTCTAGCAGCTAGCAGCTGGAAGTGGGACCAGCTGGGACCTGAGCATCAGGAAGCCATCTAATGCTTAAAATCCACTTCAACTTAGACCCGGATTGTGACTTGGGCCAACCTTCCTGTGTCTATTTCCACACAGAAGACCCCATTTGCTATTCCAGACTGGGGTCATCAACTAATCCAGTTTCCAGAATTCCCTAGAGTCCAACCATCCATCACGCATCCAAGGGTGAGGTGAATGTGTTGTTGGGACAACCAATCAAGAAGGAGCTGTCCAGGGACCAGAGCCAGAAGCAGGGAATCACGTACAGAGGCATTAGGTTGTCTTTAGACTTCCTCCAGTTCCTGCCCCGTGAAGCAAAGACACACAACCTCTACCTCCGCCAAGGAGAAAGGGCGCATTTGCTCGATTGCTCTAAGTCTCACACACTAGCATTTTCTCACAGAGCAGGAATGAGCCTGCAGCAGTCTCTCCACCCCACCCATGTCCCCAAGGTTGGGGGCGATGAAGAGGATAGCAATCGGACCTCCAGATGGGAGAAGCCAGAAGGTGCAACTGGGGTGTCTCGATGAGGGCACTCGCTGCCATATTGCCCCCTAAACAAACTCATAGGTAGGCTGTTCCTATGGCCTCTATACTGCGGCTTGGACCCAGTGTATCAAAACATTCAGACCCACGGTCTTAGGAGCTGGAGGGAAGAGATGGGAAGAACCATTTTCACCTCACTTCAACCCCCTGCTAAGGCAGAGAAAGAGACTCCAGAATCACACACACTCCCTCTCTCCTTTTCCTCCTTTCCCCCCTTTCCCCTTTTGGGTAAAGGTAAGGGACTGAAGACTCCGGGCGGTGGGTAAGGCGGTACAGTAGATTAGTATGCAACATCTTATTGGTTAGAAGAGCTGCCGATCAAAGGCAGATAGAGTCAGGATTGGCTGCGTGAGGCGGGGCGCGGCGTGGCGAAAGAAGGGGCCCAAGGGGTGGGGCTGACGCTGCAGCTGGCGCAGCTTCGGCTCAGAGCAGCCGCCGCGGCGCAGCAGAGCGGCTCCATCCCCCGCCCGTCCGCGCGCCCGGGCCGGGGCTAGGCCCCCCACCGCCGGGTCCCCCGGGGCTGCAGCAGCAGCGGCGCCGCCCGCGGTTCCCGCTGGGGCCCGGGCGCCGGCCCCGCTCTGCAGGATGGGCACGGTGCTGTCGCTTTCCCCTGCTTCCTCGGCCAAGGGCCGGAGGCCGGGAGGGCTGCCGGAGGAGAAAAAGAAGGCGCCGCCCGCGGGGGACGAGGCGCTGGGGGGCTACGGCGCGCCGCCGGCCGGCAAGGGCGGCAAAGGCGAGAGCCGGCTCAAACGGCCGTCCGTGCTCATCTCGGCGCTCACCTGGAAGCGCCTAGTGGCAGCCTCGGCCAAGAAGAAGAAAGGCAGCAAAAAGGTGACGCCCAAGCCAGCGTCCACCGGTCCCGACCCTTTGGTCCAGCAACGCAACCGCGAGAACCTTCTCCGCAAGGGCCGCGACGCCCCCGACGGTGGCGGAACAGCCAAACCCCTGGCCGTGCCGGTGCCCACGGTGCCCGCGACCGCTGCCACCTGCGAGCCCCCGTCGGGGGGCAGCGCAGCCGCCCCGCCACCGGGCTCAGGCGGGGGAAAGCCGCCGCCGCCGCCACCCCCAGCCCCGCAGGCGGCACCGCCGGCGCCCGGAGGCTCGCCGCGGCGGGTCATCGTGCAGGCGTCCACCGGCGAGCTGCTGCGCTGCCTCGGCGACTTCGTGTGCCGACGCTGCTACCGCCTCAAGGAGCTGAGCCCCGGCGAGCTGGTGGGCTGGTTCCGCGGCGTGGACCGCTCGCTGCTGCTGCAGGGCTGGCAAGACCAGGCCTTCATTACCCCCGCCAACCTGGTGTTCGTGTACCTGCTGTGTCGCGAGTCGCTGCGCGGGGACGAGCTGGCGTCGGCCGCCGAACTGCAGGCCGCCTTCCTCACCTGCCTCTACCTCGCCTACTCCTACATGGGCAACGAGATCTCCTACCCACTCAAGCCCTTCCTCGTGGAGCCCGACAAGGAGCGCTTCTGGCAGCGCTGCCTGCGCCTAATCCAGCGGCTCAGCCCGCAGATGCTGCGGCTCAACGCCGATCCCCACTTCTTCACGCAAGTCTTTCAAGACCTCAAGAACGAGGGCGAGGCCGCGGCAAGCACCGGGGGTCCATCGAGCGGAAGCGCGTCCACCACCTCCTCCTCGACCGCCAGGGACAGCTGCGCGGCCGGAGCCAAGCATTGGACTATGAACTTGGACCGCTAGGGATTCCCAGGGGCTGTGCCCGCCCCCCGCCCCAGCCCCTCACACACACCCGGAACCCCCGGGACCATCAAGCCACCGTCGCTATTACCGCTGCTCTACGCCCAGGCTGGGCCGAGGAGGAGCCGCCCCTGCCCCACAGGGGAAGGTGGAGGCTAGGACGCCAGAGGCCGCGGTGTCTGGATTTACTGGGCGTGGGGTGGGCGTGGGGGATGATCGCGGGAAGTGCACCCCCAACTTCGTTCACCCTTTCCGTCTGTCTGCGCCTCCATCTTTCCATTTCTGCCCTGGTCTCCCACTTCCCCGCTGTGGGCATCTCGAAGTCCACCACCCTGGGTTTTGTCCAGGCCCTCACCTTTCTGGGTCTTCGTCTTTCCTCCCGTCTGCAGTCCCCTCTCTTTGCCTGTCCATTGGCATTTCCTGGGCTTTACCCTTTTCTACCTTACCCGGAGCCTGATGGTACCCCATTGCCGTCCCCGGTTCTCCAGCACCTATGTTTCCAAATATCCTTCTTGTTCCCTTTCCTTCCTCGGGTCATATGTCACCTCCTTCCCTCCTGTCTGCCTTCCCTCTCTCTGCTTGTGTCATCCTGCACCCCCCCCCCACCAGCCCACTCCCCAAGACTCTACACCCTTTTCCCCAGATCAAAACGACCCTTAGTTTTTTTATTTGGATAGACTGGACAGAAATCTGCAGTACCGAGTGTCCAGGCAAAGATCAGGGTGATCCTTTCCTTCACCCCCACGGCCTCTCCCCACCTTTTCCAACGTGTTGCATGCTGGGAGTTGAGGGGGGAAAGGGCTGCTGCCTTCATTTAGGAGGCTGAGATTTGAGGGCAAGATCCAACCCGGTAGACTACCCCGCTTGCGGCGGTGGTGTCTTCTCTGTGGATGGGTAGAAAGAGAAAGAAAACTCTTCTTATCTGGGGGAGGGGCGTCCTCTTCCTTATCTTTAGATTTCTTGTTATAGCCCCTCCCCACACTTTAATTTATTTCGCTGTTTCAGGAGGGAGGGTGGGTGGGGAGGGGGCTGGGCCGGGAATTGTCCGAGGTGCTGAGCTGGGCGGAACCGGAATCCTCCTGGGAGAGTACCAGGGACTGGGTTGGGCCTGGGGCCTTGTCCAAGGTGCCAATGATGCGGGCCGACGGCGCAGGCCGCATTATCTGTCCGTCTGTCCTGGAGAGAACTATAAAGCGCTGGAAGCGCCTACAGATGGTTTTGCGCCGGCCTCTCTTTGGGTCCTGGGAGGGTGGAAAGGAATGGGCGTAGGAGAGAAACTGTTAGGGGTAGGGCAGGAGGGCGAGAAACAGGGATCGAGAGGGAAAATCAGGTCCCTGAGATCTGCAACCTGCTACCTGCCCCCACTGGCTTTCATTTTAGAGTAAAGCGTGATAAGCGAGGGTTGAGGCTGAATTTACCTCCCCATCCTGGCCTCCATCTTGTCTGCCCTACCTCCTTATTAATACTCAGGCTACTTAAGGACAAATGGCAAAGAGACAAAGTCTCCCCTTCTGGGAGGTGACCCTTGAGACAGAGCTGGCTAGCCATGATAACTGTTTTTATTTCTTTCCGTTCTTCCCACCATATATTGATTGAGTCAGGAGTCTAGTCAGGCCTGACTAAGCCTGTGCTTACCTCTCTCAGTTGGGATATGAGTACCACCCCCACCCCGTGAGGCTGCTTTAGTCACAGGCCCATCCAGAGTAGTCTTTGGAGGCCCATTCCTGCTTGAGACTCAGACCTTGACCCTTGACCAGAAACAAAAGGGGAAACGAAAGCCGTTTCCAATAGAAAAATAGGGAGGAATTAAACTAGTTGGCTCCAAATCTCTGCTTAGTCCCCATTTCCCTCTTAGTTACACAGCGAAACAGCACATTTAGTATTGCGTCCGTTCAAGAAGGACTGACTGCAGGCAGAACGCTTGCGGTTGCGAACCTGGTCGCCACCGTGGCCACGAAGATCCAGAAAGAGTCCCGGGAGGGGCTGGCAAAGAAAAGGCCTCGGGCTCGCTGTCCGTGGTGCTGAAGGGCGCGTTTGTGAAGGGTGGGGGCTTGCACTAGCTGCAAGAGAGGGGACTCGGCCACAGATCTTCTGAATAATTCAAGAGTGGGGTGTAAGCTATTCTGGCGACAAGTTACAGAAGTCTTGCCCGAGAACCAGGAATGTCGCCACACCCTTGCCCTCCTCGGAGGACAGGACTTGGCTTTCACCTGGCCTGTACCCAGAGCTCTAGCACCCGGCCTGGAGGCGGAAATCCTCGGTCCAGATTTGTGAATCGAGTTCCCGAGGGGGAGGGGGAAAGCTAGCGGAAGGGAAGGCGGGAGCAGCCGCTCATTGGCTGGAATTTGGCGCAGTCAACGCGGTGCCGTCATCTCTCTGGATTTGGGAGGAGGGAAGGAAGATCACTTGGGTCACTCCGCGGCTGTCGCTATGGTAACCAGACTTGAGCGGGCGGGGCCCCCTTTTCACACTCTTACCTTTGGGCGAGGAAAGCATCCTGGTTTTCCTAATTTGGAACTAATTAGGGAGACTAGCTACTTGATTGGAATTTCAGAGTTAGAGCAGCCTAAAGGGGATGAGGAAGAGGCTCGAAAGCCGATAGAGATTTTTTTAAAAAATCTTGCCCTTGGGTGACTACCTACTGCCCCGAACTCATGGACACAGCATCTTCTTTCTGCTCTCACGGGCGTGCGTGTGCGCGCACAGGTAGACCCCCTCGTGTGCCTCCCGGAACCTATGGTCTGGCACTGAAGAACTCAGATGAGAAGGGGGCTGGGGGGAAGCATCATTGAGTGGTGTCAGCTTGCCCATTACCTCCCAAAGCAGGATACACTGCTGTAATCCGATTAGAATTAGGGGTGGAGTTCTGGAAGATGATCAACAGGACTGCTTGGAACAGTTAGCTTTCTGGGTTACATTTGGTAGGAGTCCTGTTTTCTCTGGGTGGATGGCAATAGGAAGAAGGCCCCAGAACAGTCTTCTGAGAAGCCAAAAGGAAAAACTGTAAATGAGAGAGAAATATAAATGAAAACGAGTAAAGTGCCTTCACTTTCCTGCCAGAGATTGAACCTGGGGGTAAATGTATCCAGGTTGGTAAAGAGGGCCTAGAACTCTCTGGAGAGCCCAGAAGGGCCAGGAGTAGACTAACTGAAACCGGAGGTTGGGATAGAGAATCCCAGTTGTAGCCATGACTCAGCACTTCCCCTTGCAAAGGCCCAAAGCACAGCGGCTGGAAAGAGTGTCGGGCTGTGGGAAAGCGAATTGGTGGCTGACAAGAGATGCACTCCATTGCACGATGCATATATCAATACACGGCCAGAGGCATATATTCTAACCCAGGCAGACATGAATGTGTTTATACTGATGAAGGTTCATACAATTATATACATATATGTGCTCTCCCCTTCTGTGTCCCCCTTGCTGGACATTGCAAAGAACATTCTGTCCTGAGATCCATGCTTGCCTGTCCCCAGAATACCTTAGTACTTTCTGGAAAAGGAGAAATGTTAAAAACTCCCAGATATGGGAGGGAGTTGTCATGGAAACCTCCTTGTCTGCCAGCCAGGGTGCCCAGCAACCAGAGCATCTGGCAGTATCCAGGAGAAGAATATCATATGGCCTCTGCATACTGGGACTCTGCCTCAGGAATTCAGATGGGTACTTCTAGAAGGTTTCTGCCAGGGAGCTTCCTAAAACGACACCCCCACACCAGAGTCAGACTATCAGAATATAAAGAGTATAAAGGAAGCTACCTGTAAGGATGTGACCTTAAAGTACCCCCTTCTTCTTCATGTACTCTTTTTTGTTTTTTCTCCCTACCCTTCAGGATCTCACTATGTAGCCAGGGCTGGCCAGGAACTCTGTGTAGACTAGGCTAGTCTGGAACTTGAGGCAATCCTCTGGTTGTCTTGTCTTTGCCTTCTGAGTGCTGTTACAGGCAGGTACCACATACTCAGCCTCAAGAAGTAGTCCTCCCTCCCTTATGTACAGTGCTCCGTAATGACTGTGAGTGGCCTCTAGAACACCCTTAACCACTGGCTCATCATTTCAACTCCCCACCCCAACTCCCAGCTTGTCTCTTGAGTAGTCAGCTGCTCGTAAGACCTCTTTCTGCACCGAGATATTGGCCACAATGATGATCCGTTTCTCTTACGAGTACACTCCCCATTTCTTCATGCCTCTTAGTCAGCTGTTTGTGGTTAATATTTAGCATGAAGACCATAAATCTTAAAATTAGTCCCTCTCTGTATATTTTATATATGGCAACTTAAAAGTCAGGAAGAATAATGATGTAAAACATAAATAAATAAGCATCTCTTTATAAAATAAACTTCCTGCATGGCATTCCACCAAGTAAAAGAAGATGGGCGGAACAATATGAAGGCTCACAACTATTTGGGAGGCTGAGGGTGGGAAGACTCCTTGAGCCTACAGCAGTGGTTCTCAACCTTTCTAATGTTGCATTCTTTATTCCTCATGTTGTGGTGACCCACAACCCTAAAATTATTTCACTGCTTACTTCATAACTGTAATTTTGCTGCTGTTATGAATTGTAAAGTAAATATCTGATATGCAGGATATCTGATATGTGACACCTGTGAGTCTCAACCACAGATTGAGAACTGCTCACTCACAGGATCAGACCAGCCTGCATAATACAGTGATACCCTTAACTCAAAACCAATCACACACATACACATATTATCCCAGAGAAACCACATAGTGCCAATGAAACCCTCAGAGGAGTGAATAAAGTCATCCGTGGCATGCCTGTGATCTCCGCACCTCAGGCTAAGGCAGGAGCACAATGGTTCAAAGATAGCCTGGATTACATAGGGAAATCCTGTCAAGGTCTGGGAAGAAGAAAGTATAGAGAGCTTACTTAAATAGATAGCACTGGTACATGAATAGACAGTATCATAGAGGAAAAAGGATAGTCTAAACAAAACTAAACTATGCCAAGTTGGGAGTCTAGCATAGGGTGAAAGTACCACTTAGAACTCATTGACCAGGAGAGCCTGCAAATTGTTTACAGCTGGGTAGCCATTTAGATAAAAGGGGAAACAGGTCAACCTTTGTTTGTTTTCAAGACAGGATTTCTCTGTGTAGCCCTGGCTGTCCTGAGACTTACTTTGTAGACCAGGCTGGACTCAAGCTCAGAGATCTGCCTGCCTCTGACTTGTGAGTGTTGGGATTAAAGACACACAACCACCCAGCCCCGTTGCTCATTCTTTACCCTCAAAATATATCAAAATCTGATCAAAGATTTAAAGAAATATGCCATACAGCCTTAGATGAGGAGGTAGTTAAAAATATCTAGTAATATTGTAAATATCTAGACTTTTCCCTCATGAGTTTCAACTTACAGATTCAGTGCTAGAGAAATACTTGAAATACAGAGACATGACAGGGATTTAAATTTCCTTTTTACTTTATTATACCCTGGAAAGAGAAAAGTAGGACTCAATTTAAATATTCACCAGGATTTAATCCGGGCTAAGTAAATGTTGAGATATCCCACTTACTGAATTTCATATTATTCAGTTAAAACGAATGAGTTAGCTGGACATGGCTGTACACAACTGTGAGTTCTGTGCTCATGAAGCTGACATAGGAGGATCATAAATTTGAAGTCACCTAAGGCTTCATAGCAAAGCCATGTCTCAGATAGATAGATAGATAGATAGATAGATAGATAGATAGATAGATAGACAGGCAGGCAGACAGATAAATAGGGACTAAAGCAAAGGCTCATCAGTTAAACTCACTGACTGCTCATCCAGAAGACTGGGGTTGGATCCCCAGCACACACATAGCAACTCACAATGGTCTTGTAACTCCAGTCCTAGGGTATCTGATGCCCTCTTTTGGCTTTCAGGGGTATTGCATCCACAGTGATTCACAGATATACATGCAGGCAAAATATCCATACATACAAGATAATAAAATTATAGCTACAATAAATTCTATTGTATTCTGCACAGTTAGAAAACAGAAATTAACACATAATAGTAAATATTAAAGTAAAAACTTGTATATAGGCTGGGTTGGTGACTCACACCTTTAATGCCAACATCCCAGAGACAAAGGCAGGTGGAAGTCTATGAGTTCTAGGCCACATAGTAAGCTCCAGGTGAGCCACGGCTATACAGTGATATCCTGTCTTTTTTTAAAAGGCAGAGAAATAGCATAGCTCCTGGGACGTGATAAGCTGTAAATAAATGAGAGCTGATTTGCAGCTTTTATCCCTGAGTGATAAACTCCAGCAAGCTTCATCCACTTCCCATTTACTTCCTTAGAGCAACCAATAAATGAACTTTAAAAAGCGGGTCTGCATTCTCTTCCATTGCCAGTGAGCCTGTGACTAAATGCATCTTTAGAACATAACTGTGGGGATGACTCCTTGGTGTTCAGATTTCTCTCTTCTTATGCTATATTTGAACACTGAGGTTTTTTTTTTAAGATTTATTTATTTATTATATATGAATACACTGTAGCTGTCTTCAGACACACCAGAAGAGGGCAT